TTTATCAAGCTTGCAGGATATAAGATCAATATACGGCTGGGTGTGGTGGCTCACACCTGAAATTCCAGCACTTTGGGAGGTCGAGGAGGGCGTATCAGCAGGTCAGAGGGTGTATCTCCTGACCAAAATGGTGAAACCCCTTCTCTACTAAAAATACAAAAATTAGCCAGGTGTGGTGGCATGCACCTGTAGTCCCAGCTACTCAGGAGGCTACGGCAGGAGAATCGCTTGAACCCAGGAGGCGGAGGTTGCAGTGAGCCAAGGTTGTGCACTCCAGCCTGGGCGACTAAGCAAGACTCCATCTCAAAAATAAATAAATAAATAAAATCAATATGAAAACATCAAGTATAAAAGCAACAACCCAATCTAAAATTGGTCAAGAGACTTGAACAGATGTTTTTCCAAAGAAAATAAACGCTGGGCCTGTAATCCCAGCACTTTGGGAGGCCGAGGCGGGTGGATCACGAGGTCAAGAGATCGAGACCATCCTGGTCAACATGGGGAAACCCGTCTCTACTAAAAATACAAAAAATTAGCTGGGCATGGTGGCGCGTGCCTGTAATCCCAGCTACTCAGGAGGCTGAGGCAGGAGAATTGCTTGAACCCAGGAGGCGGGGGTTGTGGTGAGCTGAGATCGCGCCATTGCACTCCAGCCTGGGTAACAAGAGTGAAACTCTGTCTAAAAAAAAAAAAGAAAGAAAATAAACAAATTACTGGCCAAGCGTGGTGGCTTACTCCTGTAATTCCAGCACCTTGGGAGGCTGAGGTGGGCATATCACAAGGTCAATTGGAGACCAGCCTACCCAAAATGGTAAAACCCCATCTCTACTAAAAATACAAAAATTAGCTGGGTGTGGTGGTGCAAGCCTGTAATCCCAGCTACTGGGGAGGCTGAGGCAGGAGAATTTATTGAATCTGGGAGGCTGAGGTTGCAGTAAGCCGAGATTGCACCACTGTACTCCAGCCTGGCTGAAAAGAGTGAGACTCCGTCTTGAAAACAGAATCTTGAAGAGATGTTTATAGACCCATATTCATAGCAGCAGTATTCACAGTAGCCAAGAAGTGGCAGCAACACAGATGTTCATCAACAGATGAATGGATAAACAAAACATGGTATATACATACAATGGAATATTATTGGGCCTAAAAAAGGGAAGGAAATTCTGACATATGCTACATCATTGATGAGACTTGAGGACATTGTATCAAGTGATATAAGCCAGATATCTATCACAAAAAGATAAATATTAAAAGTAGACAAATTTTCAGAGACAGAAAGTTGTATGGTAGTTGCCCCGTCCTGGAAGAAAGGAAAAATGGGGAGTTATTATTTTAAGAGAGTTCTGGAGATGAATAGTAGTGATGGTTATACAATATCAATGTATTTTTAACACCACTGAAGTGAACACCTAAAAATTGTTAAGATGGTAAATTTTATGCTTTGGGTATTTTACCAGAAAATTTTAAAAACTAAAGTGTATTCTTCAGGACTTTTGTTAGAAAAGAAAAAAGAAAAAAAATAAAGTGTATTTCTATATACTAATGACAAACAATTGGAGATTAAAATGCAAAAAAAAAAAAACCCAAAACAAAACAACAACAACAACAAAAACTAGCTTTTTACAGTAGCTTAAAAATATGAAAGCTTTGTCACACCTGTAATCCCAGCACTTTGGGAGGCCAAGGTGGGCGGATCACGAAGTCAAGAGATCAAGACTATCCTGGTCAACCTGATGAAACGCTGTCTTTACTAAAAATACAAAAATTAGCCAGGCCCAGCAGTGCGCGTTTGTAGTCCCAGCTACTCTGGAAGCTGAGGCAGAAGAACCACTAGAACCGAGAGGTGGAGGTTGCAGTGAGCAGAGATTGCGCCACTACACTCCAGCCTAGTGTCAGAGCGAGACTCCATCTCAAAATCAAAAACAAAACAAACAAAAACAAAAAAAACTTTGGGGATAAATCTAACAAAATAAGTGCAAGATCTGTTCATTGAATGCTACAAAATATTGCCAAAAGCTAAGAACTAAGAAAATGGGGCTGGGTGTAGTGGCTTATGCCTGTAATCCCAGCACTTTGAGAGGAAGAGGCAGGTGGATTGCCTGAGGTCAGGAGTTTGAGACCAACCTGGCCAACATAGTAAAACCCCAGACTCTACTAAAAAATAAAAATAAATAAAAAATTTGCTGGGCGTGGTTGTGGGCACCTGTAACTCCAGCTAATTGGGAGGCTGAGGCAGAAGAAGAATCCCTTGAGCTCAGGAGGCAGAGGTTGCAGTGAGCCAAGATCACATCGTTGAACTCCAGCCTGAGCAACAAGAGTGAAACACTGTCTCCAATTAAAAAAAAAAAAAAAAAAAAAAGAACTAAGAAAATGGAAAGTTTCGTGGTTGGAAAACTCAGTGTTGTTGAGATATCAATTATTCCCAGCTGGGCCTGGTGGCTCAAAACTGTAATCCCATCACTTTGGGAGGCTGAGGTGAGTGGATCACCTGAGGTCAGGAGTTTGAGACCAGGCTGGTTAACATGGTGAAACCCCTGTCTCTACTAAAAATACAAAAATTAGCCAGGTGTGGTGGTGTGTGCCTGTAATCCCAGCTACTCAGGAGGCTGAAGCAGGAGAATTGCCTGAACCCAGGAGGCGGAGGTTGCAGTGAGTTGAGATTGCACCATTGGACTCCAGCCTGGGCAACAAGAACAAAACTCCTTCTCAAAAAAAAAATATCAATTATTCTCAGATTAATTTATGGATTCAATGCAATTGTAGTCATAATCCCAGCAGGCTTTGTTTATAGACACTGACAAGCAGTCTGGGCATGGTGACTCATGCCTGTAATCCCAGCACTTTAGGAGACTGAGGTGGGCAGAATATGTGAGGTCAGGAGTTCGACAGCAGCCTGACCAACATGGTGAGACCCCCATTTCTACTAAAAATGCAAAAGTAAGCAGGCATGGTGGTGCACGCCTGTAATCCCAGCTACTCGGGAGGCTGAGGCAGGAGAATGTCTTGAACCCAGAAGGCAGATGTTGCAGTGAGCTGAGATCATGCCCCTGCACTCCAGCCCAGGGGGGTTAAAGCAAAACTCCATGAATGAAAGAAAGAAAAAGAGAGAGAGAAAGGAAGAAAGAAAGGAGGGAGGGAGGGAGGGAAGAAAGGAAGGAAGGAAAGAAGGAAGGAAACTGACAAGCAAATTCTAAAGTCTTATGGAAATACAAAGATTGTCACAAAATTTTGAAAAAGAGCAAAGTTTGGTGGATTTATACTACATGATTTTAAGGATTCGTATGTTTTCTCATGAAAGGCATATTAGTGAATAGCACTAATACCTACCATATTATCACATAGGATTGTTGTGAGAATTTTTTAAGTTACTATAGTTAAGGCGCTAAACCAGTCCAAGTTATATAGTGACCATAATATAAATGTGAAGTATTTAATTTGCACTTTTTTGAGTACTAGTGAGATTGACTTTCGTTTATTGGCCATTTGAGTTTTCTTTTCTGGGAAGCTCTTCCTCAAGTCTTTTGTCTATTTTTCTCTTGGATTGCTTATATTTTTCTTAATTCTTCATATATTCAAGGTACTGATACTTGTCAGTTCATATATGTTCATATTATGCCCTTTAGTATTAAGCTTTTCTTTTCACTCTTGTTAATGGTGTCTTTTGTTGAGTGGAAGCTCCTATAATTGATTTACATAAAGGTATCCTTTCTCGTTTTGTCATTTGTGCAGTGACAGTTGGTACCCTTATCTTGCTTCTAATCTTACAAGGGATGCTTTCAAATTAAGGGTGATGTTTGCTATAGGTATTTTGAGGATGCTCTGCATGAGTGTGAAGAAATTCCCTTCTATTTCCACATTGCTAAGAGTTGTTTTGTTTTTTGTTTTGAGACAGAGTCTTGCTCTGTCATCTGGGCTGGAATGCAGTGGCGCAATCTTGGCTCACTGCAACCTCCACCTCCTGGGCTCAAGTGATTCTCCTGCCTCAGCCTACCTAGTAGTTGGGATTACAGGTGCGTGCCACCAGGCCCAGCTAACTTTTGTATTTTTAGTAGAGACAGGGTTTTGCCATGTTGGCTGGTCTTGAACTCTTGACTGCAGGTGATCTGCCCTCCTTGGCCCCTCAAAGTGCTGGGATTACAGACGTGAGCCACTGCACCCGGCCTCTTGCTTGGTTTTGTGTCAAAGTTATACTTGCTTAATGAAATGAGACAAGATTGTTTCTCCTTTTTCTATAATCTAGAAAGTTTTATAAAACATAATTATTTGTTCTTGAAGCATTTGGGAAAATTCATCAATAAAACCATCCAGACCTGGTATTTTCTTCGTAGGAGAATATTTGCTGTACTGATTCAATTTCGTTTTTAGTTGTTTTTGTTTCAAGACAGAGTCTCCCTCTGTAGCCCAGGCTGGAGTGCAATGGTGCAATCTCGGCTCATTGCAACTTCTGCCTCCTGGATCCCAGTTCAAGTAATTCTCCTGCCTCGGCCTCCTGGGTAGCTGGGATTATAGACACGAGCCACCATGCTTAGCTAATTTTTGTGTTTTTAGTAGAGACGGGGGTTTCATCATGTTGGCCAGGTTGGTCTTGAACTCCTGACCTCGTGATCTGCCTGCCTCGGCCTCCCAAAGTCCTGGGATTACAGGCATGAGCCACCTTGCCCGACCATTGATCCATTTTCTTAATGATCATAAGATTATTATGGTTTTCTATCTTCTGTAACCAGTTTTGATAGCATATTTTTCTAAGATTGTATCATTTCATTTTAGTTTTCAGGAAGTTGTTTATAATATTCTTTTATAAGCCATGTTTGTATCTGTAAATACATTTTATCGTTCTTAATATTGGTTTTTTGCCTTGAATGTTATTGACAAATTTATCAATGCTATGAATTTTTTCAAAAAAAGAAGTCTGACTTTATTGATTTTCTCTATTGTATGTCTTCTCCGCCCTTAATTTCCATCTTTATCTTTAATATTTTCTTATTTCTATTTTCTTTGTTTGTTCTGTTTCATTTTTTCTATTTTCTATTTCCTTTGTTTTTTCTGTTTCATTTTTGAGACCTAGTCTTGTCGATGTCCAGGCTGGAGTGTAGTGGCATGATCACAGCTCAATGGAACTCCTGGGCTCAAGGGATCCTCCTGCCCCAACCTTTTGAATAGCTGGGACTACAGGCTCTTGCCTGTAGCACTCAACTAATTTAAAAAATTTTTTTGTAGCGGCACTGAGGCGCTGCGGCGGCGGTGGTGGTGGCTGCTCGTCCTAGACTGGCGGGGACGGGGGTCTGGAGGATGGGGACGGGTGGAACAACGGGCCGGTGAGGTGCAACCGCTGCCGTCTCCGCCGTCGCTGGGGCAGCTGCCGCGTTGGTCGCCTCAGGCACTGCCGCTCACTTTCCGACCGTCGCCTCTCCTCCCGATATCCCGCCCTGAGGAGGCTGAGGCGGAATAGCGGCAGGCGGCGAGGGGGACGGACCGGCCCCGCGGTGGCCGCAGTGACAGCCCGGCCCCGGCCCTCCGCCCGCTCTCGCCTCGGAGCCCGCAGCCACGATGAACCCGGGCGGCGGCAGCCCGTCGGCCGCGGCTAACTACCTGCTCTGTACCAACTGCCGGAAAGTGCTGCGGAAGGATAAAAGAATCAGAGTATGTCAACCCTTGACAAGAGGACCAAGTGCCTTTATTCCAGAGATGGAAGTTGTCCAAGCAAACACAGTGGTTGAATGTACTAACTTTCTTGTGGAAGAATACTCTGCATATGGTCGTCTGTACAACATCACCCAGGTCATGAGTTTACACACTCAGTATCTGGAGTCTTTCTTGCGGAGCCAGTTTTACATGTTAGGCATGGATGGTCCCCTTTCTCTACCATACAGGCACTATATTGCAATAATGGCTGCAGCTAGACATCAGTGTTCTTACTTAATAAACATGCATGTGGGTGAATTATTAAAGACTGGAGGTATTGCTGAGTGGTTGAATGGTTTGGCGTATGTGCCACAAAGACTGAAAAATCTTAATGAAATTAATAAGCTGCTAGCACACCGACCTTGGCTGATCACAAAAGAGCACATTCAGAAACTTGTCAAAACTGGAGAAAATAATTGGTCTTTGCCTGAACTGGTACATGCTGTGGTCCTACTGGCACATTATCATGCTTTGGCAAGCTTTGTTTTTGGTAGTGGTATCAATCCAGAGAGAGATCCAGAAATTTCCAATGGATTCAGGCAAATATCAGTCAACAATTTCTGCGTTTGTGATCTTGCTAATGACAACAACATAGAGAATGCATCCCTTTCAGGAAGCAACTTTGGAATTGTTGATTCTCTAAGTGAGCTAGAGGCCTTAATGGAAAGGATGAAAAGACTTCAAGAAGAAAGGGAAGATGAAGAGGCATCTCAGGAAGAAATGAGCACTCGTTTTGAGAAGGAGAAGAAAGGATGTCTTTTTGTGGTCTCTAGAGAGATACTTTTCATTCATTTCCTCATTCAGAGTTTGAAGATGACATGATTATAACATCTGATGTCTCTTGATATATTGAAGACCCTGGTTTTGGGTATGAAGACTTTGCCAGATGAGGAGAAGAGCATTTGCCAACATTCCGAGCTCAGGACTATACCTGGGAAAATCATGGGTTCTGCCTGGTGAACAGACTTTGTTCTGACATTGGGCATCTTCTTGATGAAACATTTTGGATGGTCTACAGTCTCACATATAACACTATGGCCACCCATGAGGATGTTGACACAACCATGCTGCGCAGAGCTTTATTTAACTATGTTCACTGTATGTTTGGAATCAGGTATGATGACTATGATTATGGAGAAGTTAATCAATTACTTGAAAGAAACTTGAAGGTTTACATTAAGACAGTGACCTGCTATCCTGAGAGAACTACAAAGCGCATATATGATAGTTACTGGCGGCAAACTCAAACACTCAAAAAAAGTTCATGTCAATCTACTTTTAATGGAAGCACGAATGCAAGCTGAACTTCTTTATGCTCTTCGTGCCATAACTCAGCATTTGACCTGAAGTATCACCCAAGGAAAATGTCATACATGTGTAAAAACCTTTCACATAAAATAAACATCAGAAGCTATTTGTGATATAGCATCAGAAATGATTCAGTTATCTAGTTTCAAAGTTTCGCCGTTTGTTTTTCGTTTTTGTTTTTTGCGGCTGTAATGTGCAGTGATGTGTTTCATTTTCCTTGATGTTTAACATTACTAACAATTGCAAAAATAATACTGAGGAGCACTATTTTGCATTGTTTATAGCTGGAGTTTTGGATACTGATCATAAATCACAAAGCTGGCTTATTAATGCTTAACTTCAGTGCTTTTGGGTTGTGTGTATGTGTATTTTTTCTCCCCCCAACCCCGCCCTTTTTTTTTTTTTTTTTTTTTAACAATAATGACAAGCGCTTACAATCTGCTCAAGCAATTGTTTTTCAGATATTGGAATTCAGCAAAGAATGACCTCTCTGGCCATTCTAAAATTTTAAGGTTGTGTCCTAAATCTGGTGGAGGAAAAGCATGCGCTGTTGAACCAAGCTGCTCACTGGACACCTATTTGTGTCCCCAGGAGATTATTTGTCAGGCACCGTTTTTTTTTGTTTGTTTGTTCATTTGTTGTTGTTTTACTGCTATTGGTGATAACATGAAATGTGATATAGCCATTGTCCATAATTTAATGTGAAATTAATCATGATGAATTCTATAGCATGCTACTGAAATGCTAAATTCAGCTATTTTCTTTCTCTTCTAAAACAGAAGTTTCAGTTTTCCTATCAGATGTATATATTAAAAGTGGAATTATACACAATCCTATCACTGACAGTAATCCTCAGTCATCTTAAATAATCAGCGCTCACAGTGCTGCTTATAGTTCATTCAGTTGGCACATATAAACCTGTACCCACACAAGACTGATCAAAAATTTTCTTTGCACATTTTTCCCTTCTCATAGTTTTTCTATATTTTGTTAAGCAAAGGAAGGTTAATATGCCTATTTTTTTCCTGTTAGGCTTTTAGAAATTATTTTCCATGATTTTTCTTCTTATAATAGGTTAGACAGTTTATTATTCAAAGGTAAAAATTGTGTTTCTATGCATTAATGTAATTGAACAAAAAAACCAGAGTGCAATATGTTCAAAAAATACTCAACTAAACTTTCCCCGTCATGTCACTGCCAAAGTGTCCTTTTAAACAGAGCCATAGGCAGGGCGCGGTGGCTCACGCCTGTAATCCCAGCACTTTGGGAGGCCGAGGTGGGTGGATCACGAGGTCAAGAGATCGAGATCATCCTGGTCAATATGGTGAAACTCCGTCTCTACTAAAAATACAAAAAATTAGCTGGGCATGGTGGCACGTGCCTGTAATCCCAGCTACTCGGGAGGCTGAGGCAGGAGAATTGCCTGAACCCAGGAGGCGGAGGTTGCAGTGAGCCGAGATCGCGCCATTGCACTCCAGCCTGGGTAACAAGAGGGAAACTCTGTCTCAAACAAACAAACAAACAAACAAATAAACAGAGCCATAAAGAAATTTTTTCAAATTTCTTTATTGCACAGGCTGTTTTCAGTTTTACCTTACTGGGATTGAACAATGTTCCTTTTATAATGCCAAAGCATTCCCTTCCCTTCCCCATAAAAATTTCCTTGGACAATTGATTAAAAAAAGATAGCAAGTCATGGGGAGGAATAAGCAGCCAAAAAGTCACATTTTTGCATTGGTTTACATTGCTTGATTAGGCTATCTTCAGAGAGCACAACATTATGTGTTTATAGCTTAAATTTGTATTATGTCAACGATCCAGTGAAGAGCCTAAAGAGATGCTTGCAACTATCCAGTAGGACACAACTGCACTGCTTTTTAAATACTTTTTAGTTAGTTAAGGGTGACTTGAATTGTACACATACATGCTAATTTTTGAAAACATATCTATTTTTTTTATAGTAAATAATATAGGTAAAATGTTCTGTTAGAGTTCCCTCAAAGATTTCATTTTAGACTTAACTTGTGATACAGGATTTAACTTTTCTTTTGTGAAAGAATTGTGAACTAGCATTTCATTAAATCATTTTCCTCTTCAAAAAAAAATTTTTTTGTAGCAACTGGATCTTGCTGTGTTGCCCAGGATGGTCTCAAACTCCTGGCCTCAGGTGATCCTCCCACCTCAGCCTCCAGAATTGCTAGGACTACAGATGCAAGCCACTGCACACAGCTTATGTCTTTTCTTTTTTTCTTTCTCTTTCTTTTTTTTTTTGAGACAGGATCTTGCTCTGTTGCTCAGGCTGGAGTGCAGTGGTATAATCTCAGCTCACTGCAACCTCAACTTCTTAGGCTCAGTGATCCCCCGGCCTCAGCCTGCCAAGTAGTTGGGACTGCAGGTGCACACCACCATGTATGGCTAAGTTTTGTATTTTTTTTGGTAGAGATAGGGTATGACCATGTTGCCCAGGCTGGTCTGGAACTCCTGAACTCAAGCAATCTGCCCAGCCTGGCCTCCCAAGGTGCTGAGATTACAGTGTGAGCTACCATGCCCAGCCTCATGTCTTTTCTGTATTTATTTGTAGCTACTCTATTGCCTTCTATTGGATTTTTTTGTTTAGATTTTTAAAAACATTTACTTATTTGGAATACACACATATATATATGTATTTTAAATAACCCCACAATTTTTTTTTTGAGAGGGATTCTTGCTCTTGTCATCCAGGCTGGAGTGCAATGGCACGATCTTGGCTCACTGCAACCTCCAGGGTTCAAGCGATTCTCCTGCGTCAGCCTCCTGAGTAGCTGGGATTACAGGTATGTGCCACCATGCCCACCTGATTTTTGTATTTTTAGTAGAGATGGGGTTTCACCATGTTGGCCAGGATGGTCTTGATCTTTTGACCTTGTGATCCCCCACCTTGGCCTCCCAAAGTGCTGGGATTACGGGCATGAGCCACTGCACCCAGCCCAGAAATGTGTGTGTGTGTGTGTATGTGTGTGTCTGTGTGTGTGTATCAAGTTTAAAGCTATCTTTAGCTTCATCTTGAATGTCACAAGAATCCTAGAACAATTTAACTGTTATATCCCCCTAAATATACTTGATACTTTTGTCATGTACGTCTTTCTTTTTTTTAAACTCCTGAAACATTATTATGTGATTGATGTTTGTTTAGAGTTACCCAAGTACTTACACTTTCCTCCCTCATCATTCCTTCTTTTTTTTTGAGGCGGAGTTTCACTCTTGTTACCCAGGCTGGAGTGCAATGGCATGATCTCGGCTCACCGCAACCTCCACCTCCTGGGTTCAGGCAATTCTCCTTCCTCAGCCTCCTGAGTAGCTGGGATTACAGGCACGTGCCACCATGCCCAGCTAATTTTTTGTATTTTTTGTAGAGACGGGGTTTCACCATGTTGACCAGGATGGTCTCGATCTCCTGACCTCGGGATCCACCCACCTCGGCTTCCCAGAGTGCTGGGATTACAGGCTTGAGCCACCGCGCCCGGCCAATTCCTTCTTGAATATCATCCTTTCATGTAGAATCACTTTCACTCTGCTTGAAATATATTATTATTATTATTTGAGACAGAGTCTCATTCTTTTGCCCAGGCTAGAGTGCAGTGGTAAGATCTTGGCTCACTGCAACCTCTGCCTCCTAGGTTCAAGTGATTCTCCTGCCTCAGCCTCCTGAGTAGCTGGGATAACCGGCGTGCCCCACAACGCCTGGCTAATTTTTGTATTTTTAGTAGAGACGAGGTTTTGCCATATTGGTCAGGCTGGTCTTGAACTTCTGCCCTTGTGATCCACCAACCTTGGCCTCCCAAAGTGCTAGGATTATAGGCATGAGCCACTGTGCCTGGCTGAAATATATTCTTTTTTATATATTTTTATTCTTTAAAACTCCAGGCCAAAGCTGGGCACGGATTTTTAAATCTGCTAGCGTGATGGCATACGCCTGTAATCCCTGCTACTCAGGAGGCTGAGACACAAGAATCGCTTGAACCTGGGAGGCAGAGGTTGCAGTGAGCTGAGATTGAGCACTCCAGCCTAGGGGACAGAGTGAGACTACTTCTCAAAAAACAAACAACAACAACAACAAAAAAAACAGGCTGGGTGTGGTGGCTCAGGCCTATAATCCCAACACTTAGGGAGGCTGAGGCAGGTGGATCAAGACCAGCCTGGCTAACATGGTGAAACCCATCTCTACTAAAAACACAAAAATTAGCCAGGTGTGCTGGCACATGCCTGTATCCCAGCTACTTGGAAGGCTGAGGCAGGAGAATCGCTTGAGCTTGGGAGACAGAGGTTGTGGTGAGCTGAGATCACATCACTGCACTCCAGCCTGGGAGAAAGAGTGAAACCCTGTCTCAAAAATAAATAAACAACCCCTTTACTGAGAATCTTTTTGGACACAAAGTCATCCCCCCTTTTAAATGTTTTTACTCTGAAATCATTTTTTAAACTTTCATTTTTAAATAATCTCAGATTTAACAGAAGAGTTGCAAAGATAGTACAGAACGTGTCTGTGTACCCCTTACTTCGCTTTTGGGAAGAATGGGACAGGTGACATGTCCTTCTCATCACATCCTATCAGAGTCTATGTGGTATTAACCTCAATGGTTTAGTTAAGCAGATTTCTCCACTGTAAAGTTGTTCTTTTCCATTGTTTTGTTAGATGCTGGTTACCAAATCCAGCGTAAGGGAAACAGGAAGCCCCACCTCCGGGAAGGAAGTGTCAAATAATTTGTGGATGCAATATATAAAACATCGAGGACTCATGAAATAAATTATCCTTGTGGGGAGGGGGTTATGCATGGAGGCAAGGCTTGCAGAGGGGAGGAGTGTTATGAAGCTTTCCTCCAAAATGTAAATTGTCCTGGTCCCTGTCACTCTGATAGCAACCGTCTTGGACTTCCTATCACCTGTGGGGGTAAGCCTAGGTTGCTCAGTAGGATCTACAAAGCTCACCTGCCTGCCCCATTTTCTGCCCTTTTCAACTACCTGCAATGACTTGGATGTGCTGCTTTTTCGTATTTGCATGATTCTGCATGTCCAGTTCCACTCGGATGTTGAAAACTCGAAAGTTTTCGTCTCTCTGGAGCAGGTGGCAATTACATGACTGTTTCCACTTGACCCTTTTAAATGAGCAGCTAGCTGCTGTTAGGTGATTGAGTACACAGTAAGATCCATGAATCCTAAGATGATAAACCCCAGTCCTTTTCTTTTTTCAGTGTGGACTGATTTTTTAGGTTAGAGGTAACATTATTCCGGAGTCCTGTGACATGTATAACATTTTGTAAGTCCATGAATGACAGTGCTACAACAGCCAAAAAAAAAACAAATGCGAAGTAAGCATTTCTGTCCCTCCTTATGAGAATCGATTGTTACCCCCTTCAGGACTGAAAAGGTCCTATGTTATGTAATCAACCTACCACATAACAGCTGATACCCGGAAGTGATACCATACTGGGGACTCAAGACTGGTGGCTGCTGCTGGCATGCTGGGCCGAAGCATGGTCATGAGCCCATGATACCCAAGGCTGGCTTTGGTGAAGGGAAGTTCATGATGATGAGGTTTTGCACAGCTCCTGCTTTGCCACCACTGCCACTTTATTCATGAATCACTGAAGTGGTGGGAGAAGGAAGCTGGCTTCAGTCATCTTGCCAACCTGGTTATTAGGAGCCTTCTTCTTAGGGCTGTTGGTGAACATATATCTGGGCCCAGCGTTTTGCATACTACTGGCACGATCTGAGAGGTCTGTCCTCAAACCTCCTCCCCAAAGCAGCTACCCTCCAAATCAAGGTCATTCTAAGTCACTGATCATTCAGTCCAGCCACCAGCCTTTACCGGTGAATTGAGGTAGGTTCTCCATTCAGGCTAATCTCTTCTTGATGAAGTAGACAAGGAGATGTGCTGCTTGATGTTCTATCTGCCTGGAAGATTTCTCTGTATCACTGTCCTTCAGGACAACTTCAATTGATTGATTGATTGATTGATTGATTGAGATAGAGTTTTGCTCTTGTTGTCCAGGCTGGAATGCAACGGTGCCATCTTTGATCACTGTAACCTCTGCCTTCCAGGTTCAAGAGATTCTCTTGCCTCACCCTCCTGAGTAGCTGGGATTACAGGCATGTACCACTGTCCCCAGCTTTGTATTTTTAGTAGAGATGGGGTTTTACCATGTTGGCCAG